AAAAATACACATGGAATAGCACGAGAATCAAGTTTACCATGGGTAGGAGACAAGTTTTGAACAAAACTACGACAACCAAACACACGAAGAGGGATAGAAAAAAAAGGAGCTGATGGGGGGGCCTTGTACCCTAGCAAGCGAGATGGCATGCGGTTGATGAAATAGGCAGCACATAACACAACATCCAACCAAAAACGTTTTGGAACATTTGTGTGGATAAGTAACCCATGAGCCACTTCAAGGAGATGGCGGTTTTTTCTTTCTGCAACACTATTTTGTTAAAGTGTTTTGGCACAAGAGCTACGGTGGATAGACCCACACGAAGCAAAGAACTCCATCAGGTTACTGTGGAAGTACTCTTTCGCATTGTCAGATTGGAAAATTCGAATCTCCATCTAAAACTGAGTGAATATCATGTGTTGAAAATCTTTTACAATTTTTGGCACTTCATCTTTGGACCGCATGGGATACACCCATGTATATCTAGAGTAGTCATCTATAGGTGTAATGAAGTATTTATAGCCAAGCTCAGATGGTAAGGTAACAGGGCCCCAAACATCAGAGTAAACAATATGGAAAGGGAAATCAGATTTATTATTTCTTGAAGAAAAATGATTTCTACAATGTTTGCTCAATTGACAAGTTTGACATTTAAATTCTGACACTGACACTGCTTTAAACAAATTTGGGAGCAAGACCTTTAGTGACTCAAAAGATAAATGACCCAAATGACTATGCCATAAATAGAATTAACTCTTACTAGAATGACTCGGAGACTCAATAATCTCAAGACTAGCTTTCTTCTCCAGGATGTAAAGATCACCCACCATACGACCTCTACCAATCATCTTCCYGAGTCCAAATCCTACAGTACATAAGAAAGAAGGGAAAAAGGTTACTGAACAGTTTAATGAGTTTGTTATGCTACTGACAGAAAACAAATTTATAGGGAACATGTGACACATTAGAAAGGGTAAGTCCAAAAGGAAGGGATACAATGCCTTGACTAGCAATGGTGGAAAAAGAGCCATCAACTAATCTCACTTTGCCCCTACCAGATAAAAGGTTATAGGATTAAAAACAATTTGACTTACCCGTCATATGATTTGAGGCTTTAGAGTCAATTATCCAAGGGGAATCTGATGAATGAGAGGACACATGGAAGGTGGTGGCAGAGTTACCATTACCTGAAGTAGATGCAAAGGAAGTCGAGACAGGAGGTGCAGAATCCATTTGACAAATTTCCCTCCCATATAGCTCTAAATGGTCACAGAAAGAGTTAATGATATCTTCCCGGGGATCGGTTCCAGGAAGGCTGGTAGTGGTAGATTGTTGAGACTCTTGAGAGGCTAAGTTTGCTGTATTGAACTTTTTTTTGACCTTGCTATACCGGCTTCCTATTTTGATCTGATTTCTTACTCAACTCTTGAGCCCACTTTGGCTTCCCATGGAGGTCCCAACATGTATCCTTGGTATGTCTAGCCTTCTGACARTGAGTACACCATAACTTATCCTTATCATCCACTTTATTATGGAAATCACCCTTCTTAAAAGAATTGCTGCCTCCTATACCCACACTCCCTTTTGCCACTAAGGCAATTTGCTCCTCCTCTAAGTTATTCATCACATTCCGTCTTCTCTCTTCGGATTGTACTAGGGCATACACTTCCTGTACTAAAGGAAGATCTTTACTTCCTAATATCTGAATTCTAAGTGACTCATATACTGGGTTCAGCCCCAAGAGGAAGGCAAAGACCCGTTGCTAGGAAATCAAAGACTTGTTGGCCTTAGCATCAGCATCATACTTCCGGTCTATGTTCTGATAGTGGTTCAGTTCTTTCCATAGTACAACTGGTATATTTTGGCATAATGACGTTGCTCTGAATAAGTAGATTTTGCCTGCTCCCAAATCTCAACAGCTGTTTCAGCCCACATGAATGTCTTCCTGACTAAAGGCAGCATGGAAAGTAGAAACCATGACATCACCATGCTGTTTTCCTGATCCCACCTATCATGCTCTGCACCCTGGGACTTCGGTTCTTTGGTTTTACCATTAATATAGCCCACCTTCCCCCTGGCAGTTATGTACAGTTTAATTCCCCTTGACCATTTTAGGTAATTGAGACCATCAAACGGTATTACAGCCATGGGGAAGCTCATATAAAATCCTCCACCTTGATTGGAAGGCCCACTAGACACACTAGAATCCTCAGATGACATGATATAAGGTCTGATTTGACAGTTCAGTTCAGCCACAGTTCAGCTGAGTTCAGTTCACAGTTCATAGTTCAGTTCACAGTTCCATGGGAAGCCCAGTTTAGTTCAGTCAAAAAACAGATCTTAGGAACACCACACACATATAAGGAGGCAATTCAGGAACTAGGCAGCCCTTATATATATAACCCTTCATCAACTACTTGAGCACACAGCCACTATAATTCCCCAAGAGACATTAGCACACCACTGTCACACAATCACAGGTCATTCAGACCTACACCACCCAGTTGTCTTGGTACAAGAAACCCGATCCACAGTTCCAAAAAAAAAAAAAAAACACAGTGGTTGCAGGTCATCCAGACCTCTAAAACCCACCTACCTGGGTACAAGAAAGGATCACACGATACACAGGATTAAAAAGACTTGCCTTTCACAGCATCAGAGTTCCCTTCTTTTAGGGTTTTCTTGGTGCACGACCAAGAAAGAAAGGAAGAGAACCTAAAAGCCCTTCAGATCAGTTCGATACACTCCCTAATCAGATACGATCCACAGTAGAGGAGGAACTGAGAGATTGAGGAAGAAGAAACTGAGAAGACTTTGTCGCACCTGCTCTGATACCATGTTTTTTGGGTTGAACATATCAGAGAAACAGAAAAGAAAGGGAGAAGAAAGGAAGAGAGAAAAGAGAAGAGAGACGAAGAGAATTTAGGGCGTCCCAACTAATAATAAAAGAAAGTAAGATTACAAGAATGCCCCTACGACACTAAAGAATAGAAAAGAAAACAAAGAATTAATTAATTAAATAAGGAAACTAACTAACAGATTTCAACATGTACAATTACAAAAATGCCCATAAAGGGCTAAAAGAGAGAACAAATACAAAATAAAATACAAAAATAGTGTACAAAAGGGACTATGATCAAATTATACACCATTATTAGATTCTCTACACTCCCCCTCAAACTAATGCATAGACATAAGCATCAATTTGTCCACTAGATAGAGATGTCAAGCCCTAGTCATGGCCTTGATGAAGATATCAGCAACCTGCATGTCCAAGGAAATATGAGGAAGAGAAATGGAGCCAACAGTGAAAAGATCTTGGATGAAATGACAGTCCACCTTGATATGTTTAGTCCTCTCATGGAAGACAAGATTTGAGGCAATCTTGATGGCACTCTTATTGTCAGCATAAAGTGGAATAGGAGTGGGAAGCTGAGTACCAAGGTCCATAAAGAGACTGTAACCAAACAATCTCACTGTAAACGGAAGACAGTGCCCTATACTCAGCTTCAGTGGAAGATTTAGATACTGTTAATTGCTTCTTGCACTTCCAAGAGATAAGAGAATCACCTAGAAAAATACACTATCCATAAGTAGATCTGCAGGTGTTGGGGCAACCAGTCTAATCAACATCAGCGTATGCTCTCAATTGAATGGGAGAGGGGGAGAAAATTAGTCCCTGAGAAATCATCTCTGACATAACGAATAATGCGATGGACAATAGTCATATGAGGTTGATGAGGAGCAAAAACAGACTCACAACTTGAATGGCATATGAGATGTCAGGCCAAGTGGCATATAGAGAAAGCACTAGTTAGGGGATAAGCAGGTTGAAAAAAAAGTACAAGAAAAGAAGCTATCAGGGGAGGGATGCCAAATTCTACTATCATTAAGACTTAGATCCAAGAAGACCCTTTCCAACTTGGCTAGTAAGATACTGGTAAAAAAAAACTCATTATCTTTCAAGCCCCTCCTAAAACCAAAATCCCAGTTTATCCCAAAAGGGGAGGTTGCAACAAATTTTGAAATGAGTTCAAATTTGTAGTTGGATAGAGAGTAGAGMAAATTTTAGATATATCGTTTCTTTACTGCCCAACATTGTACTCCATATTAGCATTGCTGGCCTTACAACTGTTGTATAGAAATTCCTTTCACGGAAATGGCATTTGCCTATCTCATAAGACTTTGCATGGGCCCCTCCATTTTGTCCATCTTGGCCTATATCTATGGGTGACATCCTTCTCAATCTCTCCCTTTATATGAATGAACAAACCAAGGTAATGGAAGAGGTCACATTGAATTATCTATTGGTCTCCAATCCCAAGTTTTCCCTGGTTTGCACTTCTACATCTTCATACACCTCTGTATTCATTACTTTTTAGTTACTCGTATGAAAAAATCTGGGGCTGACTAGCATAATGCAGGTTTGAGTCTGAGAATGGTCACTGTGTGAATAAATGCTAAAGGTTAGGTCCTTATCCAATCTACCGCTCTCCAGACACTGAATATCCAGGAGCATCATTGGGTAATGGCCCCTATATGAAGAAGTAGAATCCATTGATTTTTTACTTCCATTTTGGGACTCTTTGTGGTTCAAGTATTTGTTCAGTGTCTTCTGTATTTATACACGTAAGGGAAATGTTAAAGGTTTCTTTACCACATATGAATGTTTTGACCATGGCACAATTAAATTGAATGAGAAGTTGCTTGTTAGGCATGGAGTACCACCCTCCCCACCGGCATGTGCCTAGCAACTTGCTTGTAATAGGAGTCAACATTTTGTGCTATCTTTAAATCTGCGTCATTCAGCTGATTTTTGGAGTACTTTGAGTGTTTAATCTTTGTAACTTGGTATATATTTTGTTTGTTTCTTTGTTGGATTTCAGCTCTGTATGTTGTATGGTGATATCTTGTCACCTAGAAGTTGTACCTTGCTTTCTATTTCAATAAATTTTCTTCTTTATTTATCTTAAAAAAAATAAAAAATCTGCTTCATTCAGGGGTTGTTGACAAGAACTTGCACAGAGCAAACACCTTGCCAGGGGAGACCCCAAATGACAAATTAGAGCCAACTTCAAGTCAGATCAAGTTAGAAAGGTCAAAATCTGAGAGGCATAGACAAGAGGCAGCACAAATTTTTGATGACAAAATTTCTGTTGAGAAAAAGGTATTATTCCAGTATTGCCTCTACTATAGTTTTTAATTTCTAACAAATGATAAAATTTATAATAAACTTTTACTTGTAACTGTTTTATCATGTAGGGTGAATTTCTCGTTTTTCTGGAACATTTATGATTACTTGGTTTGCTCATCCATAATTTTCTTTCATGGACACTGGCCTATATTTTAATTATATGGAAATTTCAAACTGCAATGTTGCAACATAAGTAAAGCCAAAATTTCAAACTGTCACATGTGTTTGAGTCGAGGAATGAAACCTTTCTGAATGGATATAAGATGTCCTAATCTAAACTGTGAAAGCACAGGTTGCAAGCAACTTATGTTTTCACTGTTCCTTTTCTTTTCTATTCCAACTTCTGTTCTCACTGATGTCTGTTTTGCTCCTGAAGTGTTGTTTTGTTTTTTGTGGTCTTGCAATGCATCACTTGCATTCTGGTGGGGGTGACACCTTGTCACCTAGTTATGTTGTACTGTTTTTCCTTTTTGCAATAAAATTTTTTCTTTATTTATCTTCATAAAAAAAAAAGAGATAGAGGATACAGTATAGGTGATAGCAAATCACCCAGAATAAGGAAAACCCTTATCCCATTCCCTCCTCTATTTGTTGGATCAAAACTCCCCATAACCCAATAAAGCAAAGTAAAATTCCCAAAACCTGAATAGAACACAAACCCACCAATTACATCAAGAATGATACTCGCCCATAACTAGTAAAATTGCTCTCTTGCACACCCACCTTCTAGGAATCAAACTTAGCCACTGAAACAAAAACCTTACACCCACAGAACAAAAACTTCAAACAAAGAAAATCAAACTAGTGCCCTTACTMATCAGCTCTAGTAACACTAGCAGTATCCTCTTTTCTTTTCTTGTTCACTCCTTGTCTTCATAACCTTCTTATTCGACCTGACCCCAAATAAGCCCTCCTTCAATCTGGCAAAGACTTTTGAGACCTGCACAGTCTGATTGTTTTTCTGAGCACTACTCCTAGCCACCATATTCTACTTCTTGCTTTTCCAAGTAATCAAATTTCTTGCCAAAAATGTGCAGTAACCAATTGTTGATTGCCTGTCAGTAATTGATCCTGCCCAATTAGCATCTATATATCCCTCTAAGGAGAATTCTCTCCCTTATACAACAAACCTTGACCTGGAGCACCCTTCAAATAGCGTAGAACTCTAACAATACATTCCCAAAGGGTTGTCCTTGGGTTTTGCATGAATTAATTCAATAGTCCAACATTAAAGGAAATGTTTGGCCTTGTGATGGTTAAATAAATCAGTTTCCCAACTACTCTCCTATATCGTCCAAGGTCAGTTAGGGGCTCCCCCTCACTATCAGACATCTTCACATTTGGATCTATAGGAGTATCCACTGGCTTTGCCCCTAATAGACCTGTTTCTTCCAATAAGTCAAGCACATATTTTCTTTAAGAGAGAGAGATTCCYCACTTTGACCTTGCTACTTCTATGCCCAGAAAATATTTCAAGTGCTCTAAGTCCTTAGTTTGGAACTGGCTTTGTAGGAATTGTTTGAGCTCTTCAATGCCATGCTCATCACTTTTTGTGATAATAATATCATCAACATAGACTGCCAACACAATCTTCCAGAGGTAGTATTTGTACTAAACACTGAGTGATCGACCCTAGATTGTGTCATACCAAATTGTTGTACCACACTACTAAATCTCCCAAACCAGGCCCTCGAAGATTGCTTCAACCCATAAATTGCTTTCTTTAATTGATACACTTTTCCTTCCTCCCCCTAAGCGACATACCCTAGAGGTTGCTCCATATAGACCTCATCTTCTAGGTCACTGTAGAGAAATGTATTTTTAATATCCAACTAAAACAACGGCTAATCAAAGTGTGCAACTAGAGAAATAAGCACACGGAACGAACCCATTTTAGCTACGGGTGAATAGGTATCAAAATAATCAACTCCATAGGTTTGTGCATACCCTTTGGCTACTAAGCGTGTTTTGTATCTCTCCACACTACTAGTACGATGCTTAATAGTATAAGTCTAGTGACACTGACAACCAACTATTTTCTTCCCAGGAGGAAGACAAGTGAGGTCCCAAGTATGATTAGATTGAGGAGCATGAAATTCCTTATCCATCGCCCTCTTTCATTCTGGAGAGAGGAGAGCATCATGAAGATATCTAGGAACAAACACAGACGATAGAAGAAACACAAAATTCCAATAGGACAGAGATAAATGGGCAAATGAAACATAACGGGAGATAGGATGTTCAGTACAAGCACACTTACCTTTAAGAAGTGCAATGGAAAGATCTAAGTGAGACTAATTCATGGATGGAGGATCCAATGATGGCTAAGGCAGAGATGGAGTAGGTTGAAACATGATACCACAAGGGCCGTGAGCATACACTCTATGGATGGGTGGTCGCATTGATTCTTGAACAACAGTAGTCACAGGCACCTCCTCCACTGGTAAGGGGAAAGGAGGTGGAGATAAGTTATCAAGAGAAGTAGGCTTCGTTGATGAAAAGAAAGGAACATTTTCAAAGGTCACATTGGGAAGAATGGAGGAGTGATAAAGAGAAGGGCTGTAACACATACCCTTTTTGGGTCTGAGAGTACCCCAAAAACACACATTAAGAGCACGAGCGTCTAATTTATCCTAACCTAGACCTAGGCGACGAACAAAATAAACACAACCAAAGACACAAGGAAGCAAAGGGAACAGAGATCGAGAAGGAAAGATAATATAGAAATGAGAGGAACCATGCAACACTGGAAATGGCATACAATTAGTGAGGAAGCAAGAGGTAAGGACAACATCACTCCAATATTTTTTTGGAACTGGCATCTGAATCAAAAGTGCTCGAGCAGTATCAAATAAATGTCTATTCTTCTGCTTAGCCACTCCATTTTGTTGTGGAGTAGAGAAGCAAGATGATTGATGTATAATGCCACGAGATTCAAAGAACATATGTAATAGTCACTGGAAATATTCTTTGCATTGTCATTACAAAAATATTTAATGGAGATACAAAATTGATTCTTGATTTCACCATAAAAGGAGAGAAAGATATCAAACACTTATGTATGAGATTTCATTAAATAAATCCAATTCATCCTTAAGAAGTCATCAACAAAGGAAATAAAATACTTAAAACCATTGTAAGACTCAATTGGACAAGGACCCTAAACATCTGAATGAACAAGTTCAAAAAGACTTAGAGACTATAGTAACTTCCCTTCGATCAAAAGAAACCCGATGATGTTTGCTAAGCTGAAAAACTTCGTGCTATAACTCACGGACAAACACAATATCTGGGATAAGACTCTTGAGAGTAGGAAGAGAGGGATGACCCATTCGGTAGTGCCACTACAATGGTGTAATGGAAGAATGTAGAGCTATCTGTGATTCACCACCATCTAGATAATACAATCCTCTAGCTTCATGACCACCACCTATTGTCTTTCTTGTCTCAAGATCCTGAAAAATACAATTGGATGGAAAGAATGAGATGTGTAATCTGAAGAGCTATACTCRAAGTAGCAAGGAAGAGAAGAAAACCATAGAACTGAAGAGAATGTCGAACTGTACTAGCCAGTCGACCAGTCCTTTATTTATAGATGAATATAGTACAAGGTACAAGAAATTACTGGGATGCCCCTGATTAGTGATGGGACACCCAGATGACTTAAATCATTAAACAGGATT